GTAAGACTTCTTCACATGCAAACTTCTGTTGGTATGTCTCGAATGAATGCCATGGTACACCTGGAAGCCTCATACTAGTTTTACTTCATACAGTACATCACGTTCAGTCAGTGTAACTATAAAAATAATAAAGCCACAATAATACTAGTTGTCATTAGAAGCCCTCAAGTTGGTTTTCTTCTGCTGCTGACTGATTCACGGCCATAATTTTTGTGGTGCTTGCAACAGCCAGGAATTCAAAGTTCTTCTTTCCCTTTAACTCTGGGTAGAAACTCCTAACACTTTTCAGTGTGCTACTGAGACCTTAACTTCAGACTTAAGATGTGATTTTACGTACCACGAACGCATGGATCTTTCTCTTCCATTTTACTGAAATTCCTCAGGGCAGTGTCTAAACTTGCGTTTGACATACTTGAAACTATTGATTATGAACTGGGCTAAGGGAAGTGTTGTCAGGAGGACTCTCCAGCCTGTTGTAGCAGAGCTGCTGAGAAGTTAGCGGGACTCGTATTCTGCAGCAGACAACTGCTGGAGACTTTGCTGGCAGAATTGTCATTTATTTCTACTCCAGAGAGTGTCAGTCTAAGCAGAAAGCTAACAAAAACTTAAGGTCTAGTATTTCAAACAGGACTCAGTTGACGTGATTCTCTTCCTAATGAGCTCAGATGCTTGCCATCACCCATAGTCTTTGTGCAGAAACCAGTTTGTACATACAAGTGTGGATTTCCACAAAGCTCAGGAGCCAGTGTGCAACTCTGTACACCCCAGCCACTGCACTTTCTGTTGACGGTCTAGACACGGAGGTTGGCCAACTGGTGGTTTTTTTAGATACGGCTGTGGGAATTTTTTTAGAGACCAGATAAGGAGAAAATCCTTGTTTCTGTATTGCAGAGTGATCTAAACTTGCCTCAAAGTTGTGGAAAATGCTAAGCCTCCAGTATTCAATCAGAAGGTTAAAGGGGAAAAAATCATCTTGGAGTATGAGTAGTGCATGAGACCTGCACACATGTACACCCCTTTTAAACATGGACATAAGCTTACCTACAGCAAACGTTCTCCTAGAGGAAAAAATATTTCCTCTCTGTGTGATTTGGCTCAGTAATAACATCATTTTCTTCTTTAAAGAAGCCTGAATGATGAAAGATATGTTTCACATTGCAAAATCTTCCTTGCCAGGATTTGATGCAAAATCCACATTATAAACTCTGGGAAGGAAGAGCTGCTCAGAAAAGCACAAAGCAGAAAAAACAATAAATCTCAGAGTTCCAAAAAAAGCGATGATATTAATTTCAGTTTGGCTCAATTCAGCTGTAATACTTCATTCTTTCTTTTAAACAACTACAGTGACTCAAGTGGGATAATTTAGCCCCCTAAGAGAACATTGCAGCCATTTTAATGTACAGGACCTGACCTTCAGGCCCATGGAGCACTGCAGCATCCAGTGACTCCGGGGATTTTTGGTAGTGTGCAGCATTTGGATAAGGATCTATGTGCATACCTTCAGGATGACTCAGAATGCTGACCACTCACATACAGGCATCACAGAGTCACGACAAAATAAACTGGCAGAGGTTGAGACATTACAAAAACAGGGGAGGGGGGAAAGGCGGGGAGAGTTTCCTTCAGACCGTAGCCCTTAACTTTCAAAGACCGTGGAGCCTGACGATCAGTTGTCTCTCATTCAGAGCAGCCATTTCCATAAGCTGGGTGTGAAAGGCTTACTCTGCCTTGGTAACTTTCTGCATTCGTTTTAAAAGGTGTAGAGGGATAGACGTGGAAGAAGACAATGGAGCTAATAAGCTAATAAAATGTGTACTCCCATGCAAACCTTGCAGATACTGAGCTAAGTAATAAGACACTGGTTTTATGGTAGAGTCCATCAAATTTCCAGACTGAAAACCAGTGGCAGCCAGCTTGAATTTTCCATCAACTTCAACACTGATTTTCATTTGGATTTCCACTTCTAACTTTAGCACTTCAAAAGTGTCATGAAATTCAAGATAAAAGCTAGTGTTATCTTTAGAGCATATATTCACCTTTTCTGAATCCCTTGAATATACTTCTCCAAACGGTGCATTTTACAGGCTTTTATGTGGTAATAAACAGAGGTTGTTTGCCTACCGGTTTTGTTGAATCGTATTTGGATATATCTATACATACTGACAAAATATATAGCCTTTGGAAATGTTCATTTTCCTAAAAGCCATGGGACACCAACAATATGAAAAATGTGTGAGCTCAGAATGAACAAATGGGCAAAACTTAAGCAAAACATTGGCTTTACAGACATAGGAATGGGAATTCCTTATGAAGCGCCTACATCAACTTTGTTTTCTTTTGCTCCCTCCCTCCCCATGTTTCTCAGCAATTCCTTTGTGTATGTTCAAAGGGAGGTTTTCTTCCTCTGAAATGGGGAAGACAGATATTCTCCTCCTTGTCCCTCCAGCTCTTTCCCCACTCTTTTTTCCAAACAAAGTCAGCAGAAATGAGGCAGGACTTCAGCACTTGTGCCCAAAGCAACAGAAAGCTGGCAGACACCAACCAGGCACACGCAGACAGTGGTGGATGTCACAGTCTCACACGAAATCCAGGACTATATTGCAAATTGCCTTCAGTGAGGTTCTCCTTCAACTCAGGCTTTGTACTGGCAACATCGAAACATGCTTATTCTCATCCTTCCTAGTGAAAAGCTCCTGAAGTGAAACTAGAAGTAACTTCCATTCGCATTCACTGCTTTTATTAATGGTTCTGGCCACGTCAACCTTCCCAGAAGATGCAACCGACAGGGAAGAGTTTCCTGACAATTAGCCTGTTTCCCAAAATTTCTCATCTTGCAACAAACTGAATTTAAGAGTTACTTCAACTGGCGGGCTGTGACACAGTTCTTTTTCCTTCCCCACTCCCCCTACAGATTTACTCTTGGGAATGGCAAAGTACTTTCTGTTTTGAAGCCTCTTTTTATCGGCCCAAATGGATTTCCTTTGTTGTTAACTGTTTAACCAATGCAATGTGATTCTGAGTCATTGGGCAAAGAAAAAGAGCAGGGTGGTGGCACATGCATCACCCCCCCATACCCTCTGCCATACCGCTACTCCAAGCACACTTTCATTTTTGATGCTGACATGACACCAAGAACAGTCTTTCGTGGCTGCTACAAGACCACTCACATGCATAATACTTGCTAATTGCTACCCAAAACATGGTTCTGTTTTGCTGCTGGTAAAAGATGCATCATCCCTACGAGGACTCACATTGTCATCTAGACATTGTACACAGGAGAAAGCATAAGTTCCCGGTGTTAAACTATCAGGTTGCCTACAGTCTGCCCCAGCAAGGCAAAGTGAAAACCAAAAATATTTTCCATGAGATGCACTGGTGATTATTGACTCATTTTTGTGTGTTGGTTTTTGGCACGTTATTGCTTGGCTTCACATGCACGCCTGCAGGACTTCTGTGCCCAGCAGGCAGCGTCACTGACATTTTGCAGTTTGTCTTTACACTTGTATTGTCCCAGAGTACAAAGCCACAGTGCCCTGCTGACCACTACAGTTTTTCCATGCAGTTGTTCAGATGCACCCACTTAGTAACCCGTTTTGTGTGTTGGTTTTTGGCACGTTATTGCTTGGCTTCACATGCACGCCTGCAGGACTTCTGTGCCCAGCAGGCAGCGTCACTGACATTTTGCAGTTTGTCTTTACACTTGTATTGTCCCAGAGTACAAAGCCACAGTGCCCTGCTGACCACTACAGTTTTTCCATGCAGTTGTTCAGATGCACCCACTTAGTAACCCGCCTGTCGGCGTTTGGAGGTAAGTATGTATATATTGGTGAAATTTTCCTGGAAGAAAGTTTGGTTGGGCTGCGAGGTGTGGGTGGACCGGCTGGTGAAGACTCACTGCTGGAAGCAGCTGCAGGGAACCAGGAGAGATGTCCCATTCCTCACAAAGAAGAGTTAGTTCCAGTGCTGGCCCAGCACACTGCCAAGCCCAGTCTGGTCTCAATAAAGCAACTCATACCCACATGCTAGAAATATTTTGGAGAGCTTAAGCTAAAGGATAAAGTTCATGGAAATCGGTGAATGCGCGATAGCCATTTATTCTCCTCTGGAAAAAAATATGACAATCCATTTATATATTCAGACTGAGCATATTTGTAAAGGGACAGTTCAGAGTAAGCTGGCTTACAACGCTACAGCAAGGGGGACAGTGGAGAGAGGGATGCGAGTTGAGCCAAGGGACACCGTTTCGCAGGAAGACAGGCTGGGCAGCAGCTAGCGAGGGAGCGGGCAGAAGGGAGGCAAAAGGAGCAGCACAAAACCTTGGACCTGGACAGGACACAGCAAACACCGCGGACAACTCGGGGAACCTCTTCAGGGCTGACACGGACACGACGTGGGAAGAGACACTGAACTTCGACTAACCTGACCTAATGATACTGCCAATATTAATCCCACACAAAATTTCACATGAAACTCACATCTCGGACACTGCTAGGAAGGGGATGGAAACAGTAGTACTAACAGAAAAAAGGTAGGAGACTTTCCTCCTGGTAGGCAGAGGTGGGAAGACGCTCTCTAATGTGGTATTTCAGAATCAGCAATTCAGCATCAAGTGGGAGAGGGCTTGAAATAATGCACAGAAATGGAACAAGGACGTGCCATAAAGCCCCCAAATATATACCAGAGGAAAACTAGTAGTCAATTCAGTACTACACCTAGGGGCAACACCTTTCATTGAACTGGGTTAAAATATTGTATCTTACAGTATTTTACCTTTCTGCTGGGGAAAAATTGCCCCAAAACAGCTGCTTTGAAGGCTTGGCAGTTGATATACTCAAAAAGTCTGGCCTCCTAAATAAAAAGGGACCACCTCAGGTCTGCTTCGCAAAAACAAAAAAAGGAAAAAAAGGATATTAGTATTCATTTACACTGTGTAAACCTGTAAGATCTACTGAGTAAGTCCAGTGTGTGGTACTAGAGACAGAAATAAATTATCATAATGATTCATGAAAAATCTTTAATGAAATAAAAATAACCCCTATTTAACTCTAGTACTCTGCAGGATTACAATATCCAAATCCTCAGTCCTTTGCAGGATTGAAAACTAAATTTTCTACAAACTGCAGGAGTTCCCCAGCCTCCCATCATGAACTCTAGTGGACAGAATAAAAGGCTAGTGGGAAACACATTTCCTAGGTTGAAAAATATTATTAAGGTGAGAAATGTGACCAACATACAGCTGAGACATTATTGTATATCACACTTCCGGAGAAACAGTCACTAAGCTACGTTTTATTAGCAGTTTCTACAACTTTTCTAACATTAGAAATACAGCAAAGATTGTCTCAAGATTTCAGTAATTCTGTAAAGTAAATGTTTCAAGTTAACAATATAATGGTTTATAATATAGAGAGCATTAGGTAAAACAAAATACGCACAGGCTAAATAAATGGTATTCAGTTTATGAAAGGCAGCAAGAAAAGCACCAAAATACTGCAAAAAAAAGTAGATTTGGCTAAGGACTTAAAAGGAAAAACATCAGTGTAACACACTAGACATGTAGGCTCATGGACCCAGGCGCACAGGATAGCCTGCTCCTACAGGAAAATGCTACTGTGCATCTCTGGAGAGAGAAAAAAGATCCACATCACTTTAAAGAGTGATTTAGAGGAGAGGTGCTCAGCGCTGCGGGAGGCTGGGAGCAGGCGCTGCCCACCCCGGCTGAGGAGCCAGAACGGCTCGCTGCTTTTGAAAGACGTGGCTGGCGCGCCACAGCGCGAGCGAGGGCACCGTCCTGGCGGATGCGGGTACGTCTACCGATGTGCTCTCTCGTACCTCGCCTGCTCTGTGTGCATCGCCTGCTTATACCTTAGGCATGGCTTGATGCAGGGGAGAAAAAGCCCGCAGAATACATCCCTCTCTCACCTCCCCTTCTAGCCATCAAAATCCCATTGACTTGACTTCTCCCAAAGAAATAATTCTTCAGCCTTGACCCTCACTCTGCCTGGTTCTCCATTTCAGTGGGAGGGGAAGACCTGGCTCTCTGGGGCTCACATGAGAACGGTGCCCCACAGTATCAACAGAAGTGAGACTGCTCAGTGATCGATGTCTGTAGCCTTTTCACGGACTTACCTCAGCGTGGGTAACTTACACACCAGGAAAGCTGTCTTGCATTAGGTCTTTACAGCTGTTGGACCTTAGTTTCACCTCGCCCAGCTTCCCCCAGCCCACCCGTTTGTATAAGACCTTGTGATGCACACAAGTAACTTCCCATAATAATTCTGACAATCTCTCTGCTTTATCAGGAGGTGCTGCTCTCCCTGCAGCAAGGTGGCAATTTAAATTTGTGCTTTTGCTAAGTGCCTAGCTTTTCATCTGACAGTAGTCGGGATGGGGGCATAATGTGGAAATACACCAGCTGTGGCAATAATAATGGCGTGATGGAGCACGTGGCTGCTCAGAAAACAAAGGGGAATAATTTTCGACTGTTGCTGCATCACAACCCCAATAACACGACTGAACAGCAGGACTCGAGACTTGAGGGGAGGGATTCTCTCTACCGCCGCAGACATCTACACACCCCTGCAAACCACGTCAGTCTAACACAGAAGAGGGAGCGGGTCGGACGCAGCAATTAGGACGCCTAAAATTCTGCAGCATGGACTGGAACACATTGTGCTGCCTCCCTTTCAGTTTTTTATTTGAGGATGTATCCGAGGAAATGGATTTCCGGGTCTGACTGTTCTGGGCCCGGATCAGTTTCTCGTGTTCCCGTATTTGTCTCTGTAAGTGGTTCTGGATGGCAATTCCCAGGGATTCTGGATCGAGGGAAGCACCGTAAACCTCCCACGTCATGCCTTGCTCGTCCCAAACAACATCCCTGACATGCTTGGACTGCTTCACCTGCACTTTCGCCTCCATGGCCGGGGTGGGCTGCTTTTTGTTTTTCCCTAAGTTTGGCAAGGCCTGAGCTGAAGCAGGAAGAGCTGCTGTGTGAAGCTCATGTCTGGACTCCTTGGCCTGGAGGCCTTGCTGCTGGGGAGCTGCTGATGCCTCCAAGGGAGGGGTGAGACGTGCAGAACTCACACTCAACTCGGGTGTCAGTCCTGCCTGCAGGCCCTGGCCGCCAGCCGTCTGAGGCTGGCCAGCGTCTCCCCGGCCTCTGCTCTCCTCCTTTTCACCTGCATCCTCTGTGCATGCCTTTATGTGGACGGCAGCAGGTTGGCTGCTAACATTCACCCCTCCTTTAGGATCAAGCACCACCGAGTTTTCTTCCTTTGGTTTTACCACAGATTGATGAGGAATGGCCTCCCCTTGACTTGCACCCTTACATTGCACAGGCTTTTGCTCAGAGCTGCCCAGGACTTCCTTCTGCTTGACTTCACCGTCTGGGCTACAGAGTAAAGGTAACTGGCTGCCTCCTGCATCATGGACAAGATCTGGCACGTTGTTCTTGGTTCCTGGGACAGCGGCAGCAGAAGTGGTGCTTGGTTCACCAGCGCCAGACCCAGACTGTGCTGGAGTTTGATTACTGGAGTCAACTGCAAGCTGCTCTACAGGGATGGGCTTTGGTGGGACTGGAGCATCCATTGGCAGCTGAGCAGCATCCTTGCTGTCATGAGCTGCACTGATCACTTCAGCATTACCCACAGCTGTCCCTTGGAAGGTAACGGCTGCAGGGGAGAAGGGGAGAGCAGGTTTTGCACTATCTGCTGAGGCTGGAGACACCACGTCAGATGGGACCCCAGGCAGTTTCACTGGCTGGGTTTGGGCTGAAGCAGTCACAGCCGTAACAGCAGTCGATTTTGACATGATACCAGGGGAACACGGGGACTTTTGTTGTGAGGAGAAACTGCCAGTAAGTGCAGACTGGCTCAGCCCCATACCTCCTTGGTAAATGATGTGCAGTTCTTCCTTCTCCTCTGGAGGAGGATTCCCTTTTAAGAAGGCAGCAAGGATGCTGGGGCTGGTGGAGGCCGATTTGCTCTCCACAGTAGCCACGGCCTGAACCCCAGCATCTCGCCATGTCCTGCTTACTGATTCCTGAGTTAAAGAGCTGCTCTCCGGCTGAACCGTCATTGTACCTGTTTCTCTGAATTTGGAGAGCTGGGTGGGACCTGGACTCCCCGGCTCGGCATCTGCCTTGCGTATGGGATGTGGACTCTCGTGGCTAGACTGGGCTGGTGCCTCGCTGCTCTGCACTGCTTCAGTTTTATCTGTGGGATGCAACTGCGCGGTGTCTGCAGCCCCGCTTTTTGTTTCCAAACCGGTCTGTGGGTCTCCTCCCAGGTCAGCTTTGGCGTGCCTCGCCAGCGAGGCTAACTGACACCCAGCAGAACCAGTTTTTTCTGCTCCCCTGTCTTTTTCCCCTCTTTGCAGAAGGTTTGCCTGAGAAGTACAACAGGACTCATTACCCCTAATAGGGTCGCCCGGGGGAGAATAATTTAACACCTCAAGTGCCGGCTGATCATCAGTCCCCTGAGGTTTCAAGGCAGAGTCATCCATTTGCGTCAGGGAGCTCGTTTTCGCCTGGCTGCCTTGCACAAACTGCCGGGAGCTCTGGGGGGCTGGCATCATCTCTGGCCTCCACCCCGCCAAGGGGGCTTCTGCTGCAGCGGGGGCTGCCTCTGCCGGTCCCTGGCTGCCCACTGGCCGGGAGCAACCAGCAGGCTCTACGGCTGCAGGACACTCCTCCGCAGCTTTGCTGGCGGGCCCAGGAGGGAAGGCTTCCTGCTGGCTAGCATCGTCCTCGCGGCACTGCTCGCACCTCTGCGTGCTGGCACCCGCCGTGCATTTCAGGTTGAACAAGCAAACTCCAGCAGAGCCGGACGGCGTGCACGGGAAGCCATTGCTGGCCCTCTCTCCACTGGGTAGTTGGGGCTGGTGCTTAGCAGACTGCAGGTCTCCCAGGCGGTCCTCCTCCACAGAAGCTGTGAGCAGGGAAAGCTTGGCAGATCTCAGAGGATCTGGTACAGTCCCCATGGACTGTCTCCGAGATGTGGTTTGCCCTCAGCTTCTCCTCGGAGTTTTCTCACTGGGCGGTGGGTACCAACAGGGCAGGCTGTCGGCCACGGGTTTTCTGTAAAGCTAATCTGTTAATGAAGGAAACATAGTGTTAGCAGCAGTCAGATTTAAAAAGAAGTACCCAGAACAGATCAGTTTTACGGCTTGGAGAGAAATACTTGCAGGCAAGGGGGAAAGTGAAGTACCTGATTCTGCCTAAAAGTCACATAGAAGACACGGATTTCAAGGATCTCCCAATTCCAAGGTCCAGATGGAGAAGACAACACTGGGGACAAAGCAACAACAGCTGCCCTGTTGTTGATACATTCATGAAAACATAATGACATGCCAAGAGGGAGGGAAAAAAAAAAGAAAAATGAAGAGAAAGCAGGGATGAATGGGAATGGGAGCAGACTTTGTGTGGAAGTTTGAGGTCACAAACTAAACTCACTGTGATAAAATCCTCTAGCAAGCCACCTGTGGAAGGAAAGGTGCTACCTTGCCTCTTGTGCCTATGTGAAGAACAGATCTGATTCCCCCAGGATCCACCCTGTGTTCTGAGTGAATCCCACACCTTCGCTGAGCACCACCCCCTTCTTTTCACAGAGAGCCCTTCTCTAACTCCACTACCAACAAGGACATGCTCACAGGGGGCAACAGGTCAATTCAGACTAACATGGATGAACTCAAACCTCACCGGTAAAAGGAATAGGGAGGGATGACAACCTGCTGGGTGGTACAGATAAACACCAAGAGAAGCTACTGCACCATACAGCACCGGGGCTGTGTACATACATACTGCTTTCACATTTAGATCCTTTGAAATAATTAAAAGGAAGCCAGCTCGATTAATAAACGGGGGCATAGATGATCTAGAAATCAATTTACGAGCAGGTGGTATGAAACTGGAAGGGGAACACTGCAGCACCGCAGAACAGGAGGGGCCCATGCCATACCCAGTGAAACACTGGGGAGGGATTTTAAGCAGGTGGAGCAGAGTTATTTAGGTTGAAATCTGGCCAGGACTGCAGAGAAACCATTGCTTCAAACAGGAGGCGATCTCCAAATGTGCTTGTTAGTTGTGCTTTTCAAAATGCCCAGCTCGGATCCTGCTAGAGGTCAAGGGCTGGATCCCCGTCAGTGTCAGCAGAGTGGTGGTGGCCAGTGATGAAATGCCACCCGTCTTCTTTTAAATTGCAGGCTACCTATGCTTGTTTAAAAGGCTTTCCCCAGCTTATGCTGCCAGAAAAGCATGGGTATGAGGCTTGGGAGACACCCTGAACATTTAGTTTTATGTTAACCAAAGGGATGACGCTGGGAAACTAACTTTACCTCTGTGTGCCCATGTCTCTGCAGGCACACAGTGGGGTCTTCTTCGCTACATTACGTGGGAGATGCTGCTGGAAGGAGCTGTGCGATTGCTCAGCTGTTCCAGACCCTCCCTACCCACTAGCAAAATCAGCAAAAGCCCTTTCCAGACAACATCCCTACTCTCCTTCTCTCTCTCAGCCTGAATGGCAGTGGTATAACTTCCTTAGTTTCTGTAAAATTAATCCTAAATTTCAGCACCTTAGGGTACTTAGAAAGAGTAATGGGAGAAAAATGCTCAATGAAAGGAAAATTAAAATGAATACAGCCAGCCTATTTTTCTAAGAAAAGGAAAATGCGGTGACTTATTATTTATTCATTAAGCTTTATGTCTTCCAGATATTAATAATGTATTATTTTTATACTGTCTCCTTGGGCTTTGTCCAACCACAGATATACACAATCTGCTGGATTAAGCCAGCCCTGGGAAGCTGTGATCCTGCCCCTGAAGGATCCTGAGTTTCTTAGCTGCAATCTGTGATAGCAGCCCTGCATCACTACAAAATGGCTTTCCAGCAAGGCTAACAATTGCGAAGCTTTTTAAGAAGTACTGAGTTTATGTAAACTAGACTGCAGATCCGTGGAAGTTTGTGACTGCCTGTAAGATGTCTCCACTTCATTTTGTGCTCACTTTAAAGCCAGCCAACATAGTCCTGAAGGAAAGGAGAGCTATTCCAAGCTGAACGTCTAATGACCGTGAGGAGAGGAGCAGATGGCTTTGGGCATCTGTTTGTCTAAATTCTGTTACTCTCTTCTTTCCTTTTCCAAATATCAATGCAAACCAAACCAGGATATACAATTGGGCAGGTTACATTTCTTTTTTTTTTAGATCCAGAGTTTATTTAAGAACAACTAAACAAATAATGGAACAAAACCAACCCCCGTTTTTAGGATGAGACGTACTACTCGGCAAACAGTTTCAGAAGAAATAAAGACTGCAGAGCAAATCTGTTTGGCTCTTCACTGTACAAAAACTGCCTTTAAGTCATACCCACTCAACAGGGGAATGATTCCTAATTTTTCAATTAAGTGAATTAGCTCTGATCTGAACCCCCACATGAATTCCCCCCATCTGTTTAGTGGCTCTTCACCAGCATCACTAGAAACACGCATTTAAACGACTGCCACGTGTGCTAATTAAAAGCGATTCTGCTACCGAGCCCTCAACATATAATGTTGACAGAGGAAATTCTGCCCCAAAAAACCCATGTGGACCTATTCTCTGGTGTAGGACAACAGCGCATAACCAAGACATTTCGCATGACCCTTGAACACGGGCTGGGGGGGCTGGGTCATTCTACTGCCTGGGACGACTCTGCAAATGAGTTAGTTTATAAGAGTAAGGTTTTTATAAAGACTTCGTTGTCAAAGTCATGGGAGCTATTTTCTTGTTAGACTCTTCACTAAGCCATCCTAATGACAGGAGCCAAAGGCACTGTAGTAGTCTAAATAAATGCGATAATTTTTGACAATGCTCTTTCTTAAGAATTAATAAAAATAAGAATGAAATATAAGTCTTACTCAAGAGAAAAGCAAGCAAACCCAACTAATTACAGAATTGGAAAGGCGTTTTTATTATTGGAGTCTTATTTATGATTATTGTCTCATTTTTATTATTGGAGTCCTATTATATAGGAGTGAAGAACAACACTGGGGCCTGTGGGCAACACTATTCAACTGCCAAGGCAGTGAGGATTCAAACCAAGAAGCAACACTGCAAAATACCTAGAAGAAACAGAAATATGAAACTCGGTGGTCGGCCAAAAAACATGTCAAAACAAATCAAGATCACTGATGAATTTTTCAAGTGTTGTATGCCTGACCTGGAGCAATCATCCAAAATTTTCTTTTATCAGGACGTGAAATCAGTGTCTCCACAAAGGTCAAAATCAATCTTTAGTAATAAGAACAGATTTTCTACACCAGCACAATTCTCCTCCACCTTATTCTTTCAGACCAAATTAGTCTGCCTGACTGCGTCAATCTCATCTCAACATCGAATTTTTCTGGACCTTTTGCAACAAGAAGTTTCTAACTTTGACAATGTAAAGAAACTCCTATTTATTTCCAGTAACACCCATCCCCCAATCAAACAACACTACAAATTTCCCTCTTGCTGCTTATGAGAATGTCAACAAAACCAGAAAGTCTGCAGGTTTAATAAAACAAAACAAGAAATTTCCAGGAAATTCCAGCGTAAAGATTCTGCCTCCCATTCTCTCTTGAAAAACCTGAAAATCTGCAAAGGCACAAATAAGACTGCCAGCATCTCCACCTACCCCCAATTTTAAAAAGAATTTAAAAACAAATAATGAAAAACAATTAAAAAGCAGCTCCCAAGCTAATCAAGCACCCCTCCCCAATTCTGGATTCTCATCAGCTTTCCATTCCTTGAGCCCTCCCTTCACCCTTGTCTCTACAAATGGTAGAAATGAGTATTTGTTCTTAACAGTTCTAATCTCATCATACGATCTCTCAGATCATCATGAAAATCATCATACAAACGCAT